TATAAAATTATATTTATGTAATTTATATTTATCTTTAATTCAGAATACTGCGAGACCTAATTCTTGCCTATTTTATCTTTCAGACAAAGCCAGGACCCATCAAGGCAGCCAGTTCTCACTCTGAGCGCTCTGCTGTAGCGTACTGCTACAACTGTTCCCAGAAAGGACATTTTGGATATGTAAGTTCTGCATTAGTGTTAAATGTATCCCTGGGGTAGTTAATCTCTGACACAATATGTGTTTGGAGAAAAGAGCTGGAAGAGTCAAGCTAATCCACTATAAACTCCAATGAAATGTTTGTGTCTTTGCAGCATTGCTGTAGTTATTGGAGGCCAATGTATTAAGTGATACCTCCCATCTGATTTAAAGATATGGAGGAAAAGTTACTATTTCTCCTTGGCATGTTTATTGCTTTGTTTTTTAAATCGTAAATCAAAACTAATTTTTAGGAGAATTTAGGAGAAAAGAAACAGTTGGTGAAGACAGCTTTTTTTTTTTACTGCCATGCTCAACATCATGTAAGGTTTTTCACCACCATCAGCTTGACAATTTGAATGCCCATTTTAGGAATTTTCTATTTCTGCCTGCTTTTGATGTTCTTCACTTGTAGTTTCTTAGTTTAATTCAGCATCTGAATTAAGGTTGACATTATCCTTCTGTAAGGTATACAGACATTATGAGCCTTAAGTGGCTTCAGTAAAAACTGGAGATCTGCTGCATTTTCTAGGATTGCTTGGTGAGGCTTATCACCTTTTTCAGGCCTTTGTTGTGACAAATGCAGCTTTCCACCTGCAAATACCAACACCAAACAATGTTAGTTCTTTTCCTTTATGGAATAAGTTCATGAGGCACAAGTATTCTAGAAAATGACTGTTACTCATGCATTGGATAGGTAAAGTTTATAGCTTCTACAGCTTAGGGATAGCAAATTCCTTCCTTCTCTTGCATGCTTTGTGTGTTGACTCCTACAGCTACTGAATATGTTTTGTTGAAAATTTGCTGCTGTTTTCAGCTAAATAAGTTAATCCCTGTGGGGAATAGTGGGACAGGTAGGGCAGGTTTGCTGGGATCTTACAGCAGAGCTGAACGATAAATGGAAGATTTTCAAAGCTGAGCTGTCTTTGGAGACAAGTGAAGATTTTCTTCTTGGAGCTAAGGCCATTGAGTACAACCAGGAGACACAGCTGCCTTGTCAGATGGATTGGAAGGGGCAGGAAATAAGCAGCTATTGCAATCCAAGCTTGGTAAGAGACCATCGTGTGCCAGCTGCCTGGTGTAACCACTGGCATGAGTATAGGCACTGCTTTGGCTGTGGTACAGGAGTCCGAATCCTTGGCTTCACCTGTAAGACATCTGCTCAAGGCACAGCTATGTGTGCAGCAGCAGTGTGTGTCCTCAGCAGCACAGTCATGCAGACCAATTTGTTCTGGTGTTTGGGACTAGAGCTGATAAAACCTGTTAAAACAGCACTGAAACTGATATTGTTAAACAAAACCAGAATAAAGCCTCTGCCAGTAATATAGACTCTAAAACAGAAGTGAGAGGGCTGAAGAAGGAAGTGAGGCTGATTGCCAGCAATGGATAAGGAACATTTTACTAACCTGTCAAAAAATGGCATTTGAGGAAGGCAGACAGCCATACATGGATACAAATACAGCTACCGTAGCAATGATACGTAAATATGTGGGAGGACCTGGTAGCTCAGATGGAAAATGGTAGTAACTGAAATTCGTAAGGCAGTTAAAGTGACTCAAGGACAACACTCTATGGTTATCAAAGCTAAAGAAGGTAAGATAGTATTTTTACTAGTGTACAAGGAGCAGAAATAGCCTTAGCAATGACAGAACTAAAATGGAGAAGTCAATAACAACACAGAAAGGCAGAGATACCAGACTTTCTACATGCATACAGAAAAACATCCAGGACACACATTAGATTATCTAATGATAACTGAGTATTTGCCCTCAAATCATTAAACCTCCTGTCCAAAAATGGCTGAGGAAATTGGACTGGGAGCCTCCGTGTGCATCTGCACCATGACCGAGCTGGACAGGAAATGCTTCTGAGGTTTGCATCTCTCACTGGCTAAGAAAGCTGAGGTCATAATCAGTGCCTGAGTTCATGTGGTGAGCAGCTCTGTTAGAGCATGAAAGATCTGCCTGTAAATTAAGGGAAAAAAAAGGATTTTTGTTTGTTTTTAATGTAAATATTTTTAACCAGGTAAAAATTACTCGTGATGACAAGCGTCTTCACATTTTTCCCATTTCTATACCTCAGGAAATATATTTCATTGCTTTTTTTGTGCAGTTAAAGCAGTTGAATAACAAACTGACCAAGAAGACAAGGCTAGGGTTAGTTTCTTATAGATGCACCGTAACCAGTGCTTCCCACTACAGTCTTTTCCTTCCGCGTTACCATTTTATCTAGTTTAGGAACACCTGAAATTCCTTTTGTTTGGTAGAGGTTTAGGGAGACCTTTCCTAGAAGCAGAGGCAAGAGCAAAAGCCTTGCTAAGTTCCAGAGTTAATGGTGCAGTTCTGCTAAATTCCAGAGTAAACTGCAGACCATTTCTTGTTTGTAGAAATGGAAACAGTTAAGATGTAAAGTGTCAGAGATGCCATCACCCGGCTGTTAGGTTTCCCGAGTTTGCTTTATTTTTTATTGACAGCCATGTTTTTACGTAAACTAAGGATTTAATAAGGACAAGAAATAGTTTGTCTCTAGTAGGCTTCACATCATAGTTCTTTTTGTAGCAATCCACACATCCAAAAATTTGTCTCTTATGGTTCATAACAAATACATGGTCATCTTAGGGGACATTCCCATTGGGAAGTTAAGGAGGGTAAGTTAGTGAGGAACAACAGCCCACTGCATTATTCAGGCTGCAGCAAGTTCTCAAGGCAGTAGGGTTAAGGAGTTGTATGGTATCTGCAGATGTGCCTTGCATTCACATCCCAGTATGCCAATCACACATAAAATTCCTTTTGCAGGTTGGTAGCAGGCTCTGCTTTCCATCCTCTGTATGATACCTCCAGCACTGAAGACTGTCCCGAGAGTATTTAACAGTACACAGTGTACAGCAGCAGTGGCAGCTTACTTGAGAGGGAAGATTTAGCCAAGTGCGTGTTGGACATTGCTGAGGAAAAAAGGAATCCTGATTTGGGTGGCATGTGCATTTCATTCACTACAGCTTCTGTGTCAGCACATTAGCAGAACAAAAATAAGGAATGGGCCACATGTCTGCAGAGCAAGCCCTAGATTCTAAGCAGGATCTCAAGCACTACATTTCACAGCTGTCACAGAAAGATGAGTGTGTCTTTGCATACTCCTGTGTAAAGCTAATCTGTGTCATTTTCAGTAATCCTTTGGCAGTGTTTAGGGATAATGTTTTATTTCATTTATTCCAGATAGACAGGCAGCTTTGTGCCTGCCTAAAGGCCACTCTTAGGTTTCACTAATATGAAACACAAGTATTTGGAGGGCCATTTCTCTGTTATTCTTTTCTCTTGTCTTAAACCTGGGGAAGGTAGATAGAGACCCTGGAAAGGTGAGAGAGGAGTTTTCTTTGTGGGGTGATAGGTGGCTTTTCAAGGTGTTCAATGTGAAATGCAATCAACTTCCAGGATATGCTTTTCTCAGTTGAATAGCTAATGATAACAGCCTCAGGCAATGTACGGACTTGCATGCCATCTTGTAGCTCCCTTTCAGCCTAATTTCGCAGTGGGGTATAAGACTGATCCCTCAGACTTGGGTGGGCTCCAGCTACAAGCTGCCATTGCTTGTCCACACTTCTCTGTGCATGTGAAGACAAGCCAGTTGTCACACAGCCTAACAATACCCTTTTGGAGAACACCACAGAGAATAGCATGATTCTTCATTTAATTTCAGCCAAGGAAAGGCCAAATACAAGCTGAGAAACATGAAATACATGCAAAATGCATCTTTGATGTACTCTGCCTTTGAGAAAGAGAGGGGAGGAGTCAGGAGGACACAGGGAAAGGGGGTGCTAGAGGTGGCACTGGAAGTAGTAAACACAGGAAGGAAAGCAACTTAGCTTGTGGTGGAGACATCAAGGTGAGTGAAAGATCCTGACAGTTTCTCAAGAATAGCAAGGCCCAGAGTTCACTAGATTAGGGCAGTATCCAAGAATTAGAAAGATGATATTGCAAAGCAGAACAGCTAACAAGCAATTTACAAGGAGATACATATATCACATACTACTCTGAAAAAAAAAAAAAAAACAACTATGGGAAGCATCCCAGTAGGCCTGACTCACAAGACGTCACTAAAATTTGTGTACAGCAGTGGAATAATTCACATTGCTCAATCAAGTGTTTGTGAACAGGCTGACATACATACGATGCAAGAGCCAGCCCCTTCCCTACCTCAGACGATGTTTTGGGGCTCTCTTCCACTTTCCTACAATATGATGTGTTTGCACAGCACTTACCTACAGGATTTGGTTTTCAGTTATATCTGTGAGAAAACTGCAGCAGCCAGACTGTCTGCATGTGGGCTGTTGGCCAGGATGCTGCACCCAACACCTCATCACTGCTTGGTTCCCCTTCAGCCCATCCCACCCTTGCAGGCTGCCACATTTCTGCATGCACTTCCAGACCAAATAATGTAGTTTGAAAGAGCTCCCCTGCAGTAAGAAGCATTTTCCTCTCAAGGAGACTGGGCATGTGTCTCTGCTGGGAGACTGGGAGGCAGCTGGTGGTGGGGGGACCTGGCCTGGGTGCAGGCAGGACAGCCCTATCCCCCAGATCCTACAACTCTGTTTGCAGTCTGCCTCGTATTTACCTAGTGCTCACCTCCTTCTAGTCCTCTGCTTCTGTCAGTGTTACAGATGTGTAGGAACTGCAGGAAGACATGGGATTCCTTCCATTTTCTGCGAAAGAACTGCAGCTTGGCTTATGTCATATGTGTTTCTCTGTGCGCACAGGAAGGATTATTGGATGGTAATAGAATTATCAGTGTTTAAAGAATTGCTGGCCACATCCTTCACAGGTGCAGACCAGCACCTGCAGAATCTGACCGATTTTCCTTCCAGGCAACTCAGCCGCATCTAGTGACTTGAAATGTGTTTTGCAGGAGTGCTCAGAAAGGCGGATGCATGGAAGCGTGTTCCCTTCTTCTCCATTCATCTGCTACTATGATGATGAATACGATATCAAGAGAAGGGCAAACAGATTAAAAAGAAAGGTTGCAGGTACAGTATGTTTTGGGAGATCTCCTGCCTTTCAGTTCTTTGAAATACTTTCTTCTGTGCTTAAAGCTTTTAGAAACTTTGTGGGATTACTTTCACATGTTGTGAAGGCTATAGGGATTTGCAGGTAGTCTTAACAGTAGTGTAAGATTTGTGACTTTATTCATCCCTGTTTATCAGGGAAATTTATTGTGTCAAAGTCACAAGGTGGGTGTTGTCAGATATTTTAATTCTAAAAAATCCACTGAGACTGAAAACACTATAAACTGGCCAGAAGAGGATTAAGAGGTAACTTGTGAAGATACTAGTCTGTTCATAGTGTCTACACTATGAAAAGGTCTACCAGAGATGAATTTTTGTCTAACTTCATAAATACACAGGGATGGCTTGAGCACTGTTTTAGGTGTTTTGCATTTGTATTGAAAAGCACTGCTCTGTTTTACAGAACTACGTGAAGCTGGCCTTCTGCCAGAGACACCATGGCAGGAGTTAAAACATGAGGTATACCGCCATAAGAAAAAGAACAAGCCTTGGAAAGAATATCGGAAACATAACAAAGATGGTGAGTGTCACAAAAAGGTGAAGATGTCCCATGCAGAGAAACACAGAGAAGAGAAACACAGGAGTGATGATGAAATCAGCCACAATCTGGAAGAGGACTTCCCTAGAGGGTGTAAAAGCCAGGCATGTAAGGGCAGCAGAACCCATCACAAGTCCATTTTCAAGGCATTCTCAGGCAGCAAGACTGAATACACGCAGGAGTGTCTGAAAGGTGCTAAAAGGAAGAAGAAATGGAAAAAGCAGAAAGAAGCTAGTCCTGGTAACAGCGAGAATTTATTCCTCATAAAACAGAGGAAAAAGAGGTCCAAACAGAAATCCCGGTGATGAGGAAGTAGATAGGTAGCTCTGGCATTTACTGGCTCCAGTTCTGCCTTTTCTTCATTTTTGTCCCTCTCTTAGCACACTGAATTTAAGTCCGTCCCTGAACCCACATGGGTATGCCCAGGCACAAGTCACACAGTGAACTCTGTTCCTGGAAGGGAGTGCTCTGTCTGTCATGAATTGGCCACGTGGCTTGTGCCTGGAGTGGCTGTACTTTTCAGCAGTCCCAGTATAGGCTGTAAGTTTGTTTTCTTTGCTTGGGGGGGATATGAAGGTAAAAGGGGCCATGCTTGGTTTGGTAGCTTTTGTTTTTTCATCAGTGACGTGTTGCTCTGCCTGTCAGAGCAGGATCTGCTGCTAGGGAGCACAATGCCTTTGGAGCTGACAGTGGAGAGACTCTCATGTTAGGAGGAGTTGTGATACAGACCAGGGATGTGGATGTAAAGCATGTTTCCTGCAGCCACTCAGTATCTTCCAGCATGCAGATGGGCACTGTTTCACTTTAGTCCCTCCCAGAAGGAGGGTACTGCAAAGTTGTTGGCTTGTGTTTTCGGATGTGATGGTTTCCTGCCTCATGCTCCATTGTGGATCCATCACCCCCCAGTCCCACAATTTTTGGTGCACAGGCCCATTCCCTCTCTTTGCCAACTAGTCAGCAGGGCAGGAGAAAGCAGCTGAGAATGCAGCAGTTTACATCTCAAATTAAATATATCCTGTTCCCCTTGATGTGGAAGTTGTTTCTGGTGAAAAGACAGCAGAGTATGAAAGATTTATTTGCTTCCAGACATACTGTGTTAAAATTTAGTATTTTTTTTAAGACAGTTATTTTTGTACACTGGAATTAAACAAATGTGTTGTTAAAAGCTTTGTAAGAATAAATGCTTCATCAAAAGAACAACCCAAATAAAACTTCACGAGGGATATAAAAAAATATAGCTTTGTTTCACATTTTCTTGCATTACCAAACATAATAAAAACCACTGTTTTCTTCTCTTCCCTTCCTATGTGAACTCTGGCAAGAGATTCTCCTGGTTTTGTAAAGGAAATTTTCTGTACTATACTCATAACCTGCTCCATCCTATACCATTCCTTTTGCTAAGCAATTGACAGTAACTAACAGCTCAGTTTCAGAAAAGTGCATGTTCTCTCTTAATTTTACTAAGAAATAGGCCTTTGGCTACAGTTGTGTTTTAAAATTAGAAAGCATTTGTAACCTGTGCTAAGGTAAGGGCATCTGAGAAAGGGAAACAGGTACACTAGAAAAAATTCAGGACTATCATTCTCCCAGTAGTATTCCATGCTGGTACTCCCTAAATTCATCAGATTTTTGTTTGGCAAGGTTGCCAGTGAGAACACTGGTATTTAGTGACCATATTACCTCATCTCAGAGGTGGCTGGAGTAGAGCTACACCTGCATAATACTTAAGAACCTAATGCCCATTTTTGCTTATGTGTGTGTCCTTGCTGGCAACCAAAGTTTAACTTCATTGATCACTTGATTGAAAAGTTCCTGATGACACTGAAAATGTAAATCAGTTTTAGCCCTAATGAAAAAAAAAGAAAAAAAATTAATTCCATTCCTGAAAAGACTCGACCCTGACATTGAAACTCATCTTTTCCTGTATGCTGGGTTTTGCATCTTGTCTTGCAGATGTGTTTTCTCCGCTGTTTTTCAAGCTAATATTGAATAAGTCTGGGGGGTTTTTAGGGTAAAAATGACTCAGTGAAATTGTGGCCTCACCATTTTATTCACTATACAATTGTGTGATAAGGACTGGTCCATGCTCTCAGGAGTTTTCAGATCCTCCTCTCATTTACTGTAGAACGCCAGGAGCAGGTAGGTCTCTGTTTCACTCCCTGAAAAGTGAAGGAGCAGCTGTGTTTTCAAGTGTCCAAGAGGCCAAGGGGAAAACCGTGGCCAGCAGTAGCATCTGACAAGAGACTGCTCTGAGTCATTGGTCTGTTTGTGCGGTGGTTTACGGGTGCAGTGTGGTGTGCCATAAAAGAAAGAAGACAGTTGTTCCTTGACATGAAGACCAGAAGAGCGTTATTCTGATGGCCACTGTGGTAGCATGCTCTGGAGAGACGTCTTGAGTCTCTGCCCTCAGTCTGCCCTCAATACACCACTCTCTTCCTCATTTTCAAAGGAAGGTGATAGAAAGTGCAATTTACTCCCCCTCCAGGCATTATGCAATGGCTTATATTACGACGCATGATTAGCAGCCTGGCCAGTTGTCCTGGGTTCAGCTACAGCAGTCATTTTTTTCTCCTTCTCAGTAGCTGGTGCAGTGCTGTGTTTTTGACTTTCAGTCTGGGAACAGTGCTGATAAAACCGATGTTTTTAGTTGTTGCTAAGTAATGTTTACTCTGACCAAGGACTTTCTCAGTCTCATGCTTTGCCAGAGAGGAGGGGAAGCCAGGAGGAAGCAGAGACAGGACACCTGACCCAAACTGGCCAAAGGGCTATTCCATACCACAGCACGTCATGCCCAGTATATAAACTGGGGGGAGTTACCCGGAAGGCCCAGATCGCTGCTCGGGTCGGGCTGGGTATCGGTCGGCGGGTGGTGAGCGGTTGTGTCCTTTTCCCTTGTTATTCCTCTTATCATTATTATTGGTAGCAGTAGTGGTTTGTATTATACCTTAGTTACTGGAGAGCTGTTATCTCAACTCGTGGGAGTTACATTCCTTCAGTTCTCCTCCCCATCCCTCCGGGAGCGGGAGGAGGAAGGAAAAGGAGGGGAGTGAGCGAGCGGCTGCGTGGTTCCAAGTTGCCGGCTGGGCTTAAACCACGACACCAGTGTGAGAGGTAACATCAGTAGTGGTGAAATTATATATATTGAAATCGCTCAACATGAGATCATCCAACAGTATTGCCATGCTTTGAAGCTGCTGTAAAGAAGATGATACACCAGCTCAAGGGCAGTGGCATAGCTCGTGCAGAAGTGGTGTGGGTACCTTTATGTTGCCCATATAAAATGTCAAATGGTGGTCAGATGTGGAGCGAGACAGTGTTTTTCGTAACCCTTCCTCTATAGATAAGGTGCCTGGCCACTGTGGGAAGAGTTAAGCCAGCCAGGGGTCAGAGTTGTGTCTCTGATGTTCAATGGCTTTGATCAAGAATGTATCACCTTAGACTCTTTGTGTAGTTTTTCAAAACCAGTTATGTGCTGGTTCTAGGCAAAAGCCTGTCTTCTCTTGGAAAGCTAATGGTGGAAAGTTTAGGTAGGGTAAATTAAACATGTGCTTCAGTGAAACCACTTTGCCCAAATAGCAAGTGATAGGTCAAGAAGAAATGCCCTCAAGCTGCACTAGGGGAGGTTTAGATTGGGTTAGGAAGAATTTCTTCCCCAAAGGGTGATCAGGCATTGGAACAGGCTGCCCAGGGCACTGGTGGAATCGCTGTCACTGGAAGTGTTCACAAACTGCAGACAAGGCCCTCAGTGACATGGGGTAGTGGTCGCCTTGGCAATGCTGGGAAACAGTTGGACTTGGTGATCTTAAAGGTCTTTTCCAACCTAGCTGACTCTCTGGTTCTAACCCACAGAAGCCTGACTGTGGACTGTGACTTGTGCCAGTCACTGGTAGTAACTGTTGCAAGCACCACATGATACATTTTTGGTAGAAACATATCCTTGAGTTTCATTCTGAGTCCTGCAGATACCTAGCCTGGCCCTTGCAGTGATAGCTGTCTGTTGCCTGTTGTTGTAAGACTGAGTAAAAGCACAGGGAAGTGGGGTGTTTGGGACCATGGGAAGAGAAAAAGATAAAACACTTGGAAGCAGATGGAAGCTGGATGAGGGGACTCCCTCTAGCAACATCGCAAGTGAAGGCCAGGAACTGAGTGACCAGCGACCAGTATTGCAGTGCAGCTCTCATAAGCTGCTGACCATGAGACCGCAAAGCTGTGTTAAAGCACACAAGATACTGCGGAAACATACACAAACTGGAACAATAACCACAAGTCAGCTTAGGTCATGGCAGGTTAAGACATCAGCTCAAACACTGACTTATGTCAGGCTTTGCACAGCAAAAGAGGGCAAATCTGCTGTAGAGGGCCCATTAGAGAATTCGGAGAAGAATCAGAGGGTCCAGATAATGCAGCTGTCAAGGAAAGGCTGACTTGTTTTCTAGAGGAAATGCTGGATAAATAACGTGCAAAGTAAAATTTCTGTTCTTAATGTGGGAGTGAGTAGAACAGCAAACATGCATTTAAAGAACAGAAAGAAAGGTGTAACTGAGACACTAAGTAAAAAGACCTTGGACTCTCCATTAGGGACTGTAGTGGTAGGACAAGGGGTAATGGGTTTAAACTTAAACAGGAGAAGCTTAGATTAGATATAAGGAAGAAGTTCTTTACAGTAAGGGTGGTGAAGCACTGGAATAGGTTGCCCAAGGAAGTTGTGAATGCTCCATCCCTGACGGTGTTCAAGGCCAAGTTGGACAGAGCCTTGGGTGACATGGTTTAGTGCGAGGTGTCCCTGCCCATGGCAGGGGGGTTGGAACTAGATGATCTTAAGGTCCTTTCCAACCCAAACCATTCTATGATTCTATGAAAATAGTAAAGCTGGTAGGAGACAGCAGTGGGCTGTCTGAGGAGGGTATGCTGTCTTGCTGGTGGATTTCAAGAAAAAGTGGAACAACCTGATGGAGATCACAGAATGTCTCCAGAGATGGCACATCTACCACCTCTCTGGGCAACCTGTGTTGCCAGTGTTTTACCACCCTCATTGTAAAGAATTTCTTCCTCACGTCCAGCCTGAAACCCCCCTCTTTTGGTTTAAAAGCACCACTCCTTGTCATATCACAACAGGCCCTGCTAAAAAGTCTCTTCCCATCTTTCTTTTAAGTACTGAAAGGCTGAACAACCTCAACTGTCTCAGCCATTCCTCATAGCAGAGGTGTTCCATCCCTCTGATCATTTTTGTGGCCCTTCTCTGGACCCTACCCAACAGGTCCACGTCTTCCCTGTATTGAGGACTCCAGAGCTGGACAAAGTACTC